GTGAATATATATATATATATATATATTAGTTAAGATAGACATAGTTACTTTCTCTTAGTTCAATAGGAAGAAAGGTTTGTACTAATATTATCTAGACAAGATATCATGTCTGCATCTTGTCCTCTGAATAACTACTATGAAGACAATATGCAATGTATTAATTATTGTAACTGTCCTACTAACCTGTTTTGAAAATGTTTCAGTGCTATTTTTTTCTTGTTAAAATTAATTTTTAAAAAGATTATAGCAGGTATACTATACCGGAGGAAAAAAAGTGGGAGTTTTTTCATGGCATGGAGCCTCAGAAAACGTAATTAATGTCACACCTTCAGATGGATGGGTAATGGTCACCAAAACAGTTACAGATATGAGACATAGCAATCAACTCCAAAGTACAGGTGCTTTACCTACAAGGTATGTTTGCCTTATTGAAATTCATCTTTTCCTTGAGCAACTTCCCCCATTCTATAATCCTTAGGGGTAAGAAAAATCTTGTTTATGGTAAAGGTTGGACAGCAGACGGAATTAGATTTTACTATAAATAGTGGGAAACCACATACAGGAGTGCAGCATAGTATAAAACCTGAATCTTGAGACTTCAGCCAGCCCTAAATGTAAAAGTCTCCTTTGATTCCATTAATAGAGCTTCTGCCAAGGAAAACTATCATGTCTCACAAGTGAACGCATAGCAAACCCCAAGCTCCTGAGCGAGGTGGCCGTCTGCTTCCTACCTGGTGCCACCACAAGATTTAACACATATGGCTGCTCAATAAATGCGTGTCTAATGGATTGGCAAATGCGTCATCTACTTACTAAATGCATAAAATAATAAATGTATGAAATGGTGACACAGTGCGCTTCTATCTTTCAGACTTACAAAGCCTTTCTTCCTGCCATGGTGAAAGCTAACCATGGTCATCTGGTCTGCATCTGCAGCCTAGCAGGAATGGTAGGCATCAGTGGACTCTCAGGTGAGCACTGAATGTCATTGTCTGTCTTTTCATTCCCCAGTCAACAGCACCTGCAAATTAGAGCTCTTACAAGAAGGACGGAAGGTCTGCATGTGCGGGTGCAGGTCCTGGAACATCTGCGTCTGTCTACGTGCAGCCCCTTCTGCTTCCCTCCCTCTAATGCAGCAGGGGAGGGAGTCAGGCTCAGTCCTGAGAAAAGCAGGATACTCTTACCTGCTCACTGGTCTTTGGGGTCAGCAGAACTTCGAGTGAGTCCTTCTTTCCATTCGCTGTGTAGTACAGAGACAAAGGGAAGCGTGTGGGTTGCATGAGTTTCAGCAACAAGCTGATTTCAGGGACCAGCTGGCTAAGGCGGGAGGGAATTTAAGGTAATTCCAAGAATTAACCTGTCACGCTCTGAGATTAATAGTTCTCCACTTTGTTCCAGATTATTGTGCAAGCAAGTTTGCAGCCTTTGGTTTTGCCGAGTCTCTCTTCTTCGAATTAAGCCACATAAAGGAAAACCAGATCAGAACCACCATCATCTGCCCCTTCTTCTTCAACACTGGGATGTTTGAGGGCTGCACAACCAAGTAAGTGAGTTCCTACAGCACCCCTGCTTTTAGAGCAGTCACCTCATAGATGCACATCTTCTTAGCATTCTGACAAACATGACAGTAAAACAAAACAAAACTGAAATGATTAATGTAGTAGAAATTCAAAATACATGAAATTAATAAATATATTTAATTCGAAAGTAATGATACACTTATGAAATTTAGGGAGTGCTTAAAGACGTATGCCTGAAATGCTAATCAGAATATCACAAGGTAATAGACAAATTGGTAATAAAAACTTTCTAAGATAGTTAACAAAAGGAATTTAAAGTATGATCATCTCCCAGAAAAAATATTTTGTAAGATTGAGACTATCTGTAAGGAAGCGTAAGAGCGATACTTTGCTCCAAAGGTGACATTTCCTTGAACAGTCTGAACTCGAAAGTAAACTAAGCACCATGATTTTTAACATGAGGACCGATGTAGTGATTACAATTGTTAGAAAAGAAGCTGATGTCATCTGAATAATCCATGTTAGCCATACTTTTCATAATGACAGACAGCTACCTGAAGACCTAGCTCAGAAGCGCAGATGCTACTCACAGTCTAATGCAGTTATAAATTCAATAGAAAGCGTCAAAGCAAACAGCCAAGAGTCGGCGGAATGTAGAGTGAAGAACTTTCTGCGGTGGAGACGCCCTCTAAGTGAGTCACAATCAGCACAGCCACTTAAAATCCCTGAGAATGATCAAAAGGCAGGCTAACGATGGTGAGCACCGATACGACAAAGCCTGCGGCAGCCCATTCAGAACACTGGAAGGCCGTGGCATGCGGGGTGAATACTGCCCCCGCCCCTTGGGACCGCAGGCTCAGTGGGCTCGGCAGCCCAGGCCCATGTCTGCCTTTCCGAAGGCGTTCTGCGCAGGTTAACATAGAGGAGCACCGGCAGCGCTCATTTTCAACAACTCCTTGCAGTAGAAGCCTACAAGGAAGACAGAAACCTGTTCTGCCAACTCCCACCAGGCAGGAAGAAACTGAGGAGCAGTGCTTGCTGAAGGAGGCGGCTTCCCTTTCCACTTCAGTTCTTCGTTTTAAGAGATCCACCCCAATGAGCTCGGTAGTCCGGTGTCAGTTCCCAAAGCTCCTAACCTAGAGGACTCGTTGTGGGTAGATTTCTTAGACAGTTAATATCACCAATCTCACCTTGCAGGCTCTGGGCAAGAAAACCCACGTAGGATGGTGACAGCAGCTGGGTGGCTCCAACAGTTCCTGCCATCCCTGCGACTGTTGTAACCTGACTTTAGTGCAGAATTATCACCCCAGCCCTTGTGCCATAAGGCAGGTTCTGTCGGGTGAAGGCCAAAGCCAGACACATGCAAAGGCATCTGCCTCCTCCGCAGGACCTGGAAGACAAGACCATAACTCAGAATGTTCTCAAGAGCAATAACACAACTGGCTGGCAGATCACACGGGTTAAGACGTGAGCTGAGTGAGAAGGAAGAAGGTAGACCAAAGCAGCCAGAAGAACGGCCAGAGCGCAGGCGAGAGCGTAGCGAAGGCCGGCCACCTCTGACAGCTAGGAAGACTTATTCAGGCTTAAGACCGCATGGCGTGAGAAATGACACAAGAGCTACACTGACTGTAGTACAGGGACAGGGACTTCACCGAACTCGGCCAATCACTGCACTAAATAAGCCTCGTGGGACAGCACTATCTAAAATGTGTTATTGAAAATGACCACTGTTAACAAAATGTATCTTATACAAAGAAATGAACAAGTATGACCCACATATTGGAAAAATACAGCCAAAAGAAAATACCTTTAAGGGAGAAGTTCATGTTGGAGTAGCAAAATCCAAAGAGCTGTTACAAATGTGTTCAAAGACCTAAAGGAATCCATGTTCAAAAAATGAAGAGAAATTGGATGTAAAATTGTCACTGAGCACCCACAGGGAGAAAGTCTAAAGCTACAAATTTGAAAGTAGAAAAGAAAAATAACTACAAGATGCGCTAGAGCCCCTCAAGAGCTGAGAACTGCCTGAAAAGGTTGTGCGAATTTGAAGATGCAGTCAGAAGGAAAGGAAGAAGACAGAACCTAAAAAGCAGAACTTCAGAGAAATCTGGGACATTTTTAAACTGTAAACATTTATATGGCAAGAGTACTAGAAATGGGGAATATGGAAAAAGTAAAACAAAAAATATTCCAGGGCCGGGGAGATGGCTCAGTGGAATAAGCGCTTCCCTGGCAAGCGCAAGGGTCTGAGTTCAATCCCTGGTTCCGCAAAAAAACTTGCTCTTATAAAGGTACAAACTAAATTAA